GAGAGAGAGAGAGAGAGAGAGAGAGAGAGAGAGAGAGAGAGAGAGAGAGAGAGAGAGAGAGAGAGAGAGAGAGGCTGATAAAATGATTGAGCCCTTTTTAAAGGTTTGTACGTGTACTTGGTGTGCTATTTTTCAATCAAGCCAAAGCCCGCTTTGTTTTCTGAGATGTTTACCCCTCTCCGCTGCTGACTGGATTGCTATGTCTTGTTGTCTGCAGCTCATAGGAGAAAATGAAAATTTGAAAATCCCACCTGTGGCAATCCCATCATTGACACAACTGACCAATTTGGTCATTAAGAAAGATTTTTTAGCCACAGATCCATTTTGCGGTGTTAATGTTTTTTTCCCCCTTCACGAGGAACCTGTTCTGAGGGTGACACAAGAGACGGTCCTGTGAGACGTTCTGAGAAAGCTCAGAATGATACAGGAGGGTGACACACACAAACTGAGAAATAGTCCAGCTCTCTACTTGGGAAAAAACTTCAAAAAAGCACACTTCAGAAAAATGGAAAACTTTCAAAACAAAAAGCATAACGAAAGACGACTGAACTGAGCAGTTGGAAATTGGAATCAATCCAAAAACACAAGCAACACATCATTTCCAGTTCCTACCGTCTTCACCCGAATAGAACGCCCGGTCATTATAGCCGTATTTGGTGCCATTTTCTGTCCAGATATGGCTATAATGACCGGGCGTTCTATTCGGGTGAAGATTGTAGTCAGCTTTTGGAGAGTGGAAACAACACTCAGTCTTCCATTGCACACATGAAAAATAGTGCGTACAGATTCTTCTTTGGCATTTGAATTTCGTTCCTCCGTTTTTTTTTCCCTTCTTTCTCTTTTTCTTTACTTAGAACCTATTGGTTCTGGCTCCAGCCATTCTGGTGAGCAACAGTCCGGTTCCTTTTCCCCTGGCAAGTCAATAAATAGTACAAGGATGACTCACGCATGCTCCTCCCCATTACGGTTGAGAGGCCCAAGTGGACGGCATTGATTACATCCGGAAGGAAGGATGTACCACCCCCCACCTGTGCCTAAGTTAGTTGGCATAGCTGCTCCTTGGTGTGTGTTTGTGGTGTCTAGTAGAGCTTGTGTATGCCACTACTTACTCCTCTCAGCTATATTGCTGTCAGATTTGCGTGCGAGTCTCGAGCGAGCGGCGACTGTTGGTCCGTGATAGTTTCGCTAATAGTCCCAAATTTTGAGGTTTTTCCTACCTCCAGGAGTGTCTGTGGGCATGGACTATCCGTGCTTCTACCTGATTGATGCAGTTGACCATGTCCTCTAGTCTGGATCTGCCTGTTTCTATCCTTTCAAGTTTTAAGTCTATTCCTGTGTCTATTCGGCCTAAAACCCTAAACCCTCTATAGCATTCTAACTGCCTGGGTCTAGTTCTAGCATGGGCTATAACTGTCGGTCTGATGACCGGGTAAAAGTTGGCTGGCTTGTTTGTCTCTGTGTTCCCTAAACCTGTTAACCCTGGGTTCGTTATGCTTTTACTGATTTTGAGCCCTAGCTCCTGTATGCCCCTATTTAACGGATCTGTTCTTTACTGTGTTTACTGTTTCCCTTTCTCTAGATCGTCTGATCCTGAGTGTTGGTTTCTTTTCCTGAAAAGAACTGCTAGTTAACAGATTGCCTCTGTTTGTAGTTTGGCTCCTGGTTCATTTTGTGCCTCTAGCCGCTGTGATATTTTGCGATCATCTAGGCCCCGTGGGTGTTTGGTTTTACGGTCCCTGTTTTTCCCGTTTCCCTGTGTCCCTCTTACTTTCTTAATACTCTTCCGCCTCGAATGAATCTTCCTCCTTTCATTCCTCTGTGTTCTGTTGCTCTGTGTCCCACTCACAAAATTTTTTGGTATCTGTCTTTTTATGTCCCCTTTCATTCCTCATCGCTTGTTGTCCTCTGGCTCCCTAGTGTTCCCTTGCATCTAGATCGCCATGTGACCCATCGTGCCGCTCTTCATAGTAGGTCTGCTATAGTTCTTTCTTTTTCTGACAGGCGGAACCCTCCCTGTCTCTCGCTGAGAGTAGGTAGTTGGCTTGCTCTGGGTACGGGTTCGAGGAAATGTTAGACCAGTAAGCCTTGGCTGATTCCCATAGTGCAGTTGCGTGAGTACACTCTATCAAGCAGCGAACGAGGGACTCTACTTTTTGTTTTTTCGGCAGATTTTGCAGTGGGACGACTGTTCCGTCCTTTGGTCTTCCTTTCTGCGTGAGTCTAGCCATTCATTGGCTGGGACTGCCCAGTAAAGAATCAGCCACTGTAGCCATTCATTGGCTGGGACCGCCCAGAGCATGGAGAAACTGAACCAACTGTTGATGTAGTACTCCTAAGGAATTTCGGACGTCCATCCGTGATCTTCTCCTAGATGTTTGATCCATCTTTTTGAGATGACTGGGCGTGGGTCTTCTGTCTTGTTCCTTGTTTTGTACCCTATCTTTGCTTCATAGTCCTGTAGATTGATTAGTTTTCTTGCTCTTCCCCTGCCCAGTATGATAAAGCATCCCCACTCCACTGGATCCGCCTCTTAACTGACTGATGTCTTTATCTGGTCTGAACATCAGCAGTTTATTGGATTTGTGACCACTACCTTGGGCTTCTTTTTTCTTTTTTTGATGCCATGTTCTAACTTTCCTTGTGTTTTCTAGGTTAAATTCTAGCGTTATTAACGTATTATGCTCTCTTCTTCGATTTCTACTATTGACTTGTGTTTATTTATTAACTCATGTACCTCGAACTCTGTGGTGTCTCCTTGGGTGCCTACTTTCTTCAGGAATTTGAGGGCTACTGAGGGTGTTGATTATTGCTTGTCTGTTGCCCAGTCTCCTACTTCCCATTTGGTTTCACTCTTCAGTAGTTCTCTCCATTCTAACAGTATGTTATCTATCATTTCCTATAGATTCTTTTCAAGGTTGTGGGCTCCCTTGAGTTGATGTCTCCGTTCTGTGGTCGTTTTCCATCTTCGCTCTTCATCCAACCACATGTGAACTATTTTCCATATTCCCTTCTCTATCCACTTTCTCCATCTCCTACCTCTAGCTGATAAGGGCCATGGCGTGTCATTTCCGTCCCTAATGAGGGGGTTTCCAAAGAGGGGTTGCCTCAGCACTTCTTCTTCTTTTTTTTGCTTCCTGACCTTTTCAGGGAGTGCTTCTCTCCAGTGCTTGATTAGTGTTCTCCAGTGTCTGCTAGGGGGTCCTTGTTGGTTTGATGGTTGCTGTTTGTTCTGCCACTTTCCGTCCTTGGGGTCGATGACGCGTTCATTAGCCAGTGGTATCCCTCTATTTGGGGGTCTAATTGGAAAGGCACTAGGTTACGAATCTGGTAGAGTGCCATGTCGTGCCAGGGAAGTTCTTTGTGTAGGAGTATTCTTATTATCCATTTCGATTGTAAAGCTTCGTACTCACTCGCCGGGCTTAGCAGTCCTAGGCCTCCCTTTTTTACAGGTCTGTTTATGTACTTCCATGCCACTTTCGAGATATACTTGTCCTTGGCTGCATCTCCTGTCCATAGGTATGCCCCTGCCTTTTTCTTCAGTGTTGATATGAATTTGGGGGGAAGGTCCCATAAGGAAGATATGTACCATCCTATGGAGAAGATCGATGTGTTTAGGGCTAAGTCTCTACCTTGGAATGAGGTATTAAATTTCTGCCATTCTGACATCCTGTTTACCACTTTTGCTAGTATGTCCGGGCTTGTGCTTTCGCTTACGCCTTCCGCTGATACTGTGATTCCCAGGAATCTCATAGGTTTCTGGTTGTTTATCCATTCCAGGCCTTGCGTGTCCGTGGAGGCTTGGTGGGTGGGTTGTGAGGATAACTGCCATCCTACTGTCTTTGACCAGTTACTCTTCATTTCTGACGCTAACTGGAAGGCTTGCATTGCTCTTGTTAAGGCCTGAAATGAAGCTTTTGTGGCTCTTAGTATGACTGTGAGGTCGTTCGCGAACAGCATAACAATGGGTAAAGAGATATATACCTGTCTGAGCTCTCCAAAGTGAGTCTATCTATCGATTGGTCTTTGCGTAGGGAAGGTTGTTATTGCTGCCATCATGAGAAGAAAGATTGGTGCTGCTAGCGGGTCTTCCTGTCGTACTCACCTAGTCATTCTATACGTTTCTAATAGGTGCCCATTTACTTGTACTAAACCTTGTGCATCCTCGTACAATACCTTTACCCATCTTCTAAATTTTGGGCCAATGCCCATCTTTTCTATGCGAAGCTGTAGAAAATCCCAGTTTACTTGGTCATATGTTTTTTCAAAGTCGAAAAAGAGTATGGCTGCCTGCAGTCTTTTGTCTCTAATCAATTTAGTGGCTTCATTTAGAGAGCTTTAGACAAACTATGTTGTCTAGGATATATCTACCTGGGATGAAACGTGTTTTATCTATGTGAAAACATTTGTCTGTCACATTCTTTATGCAGTTGGCTAGGTTTTTGCAAGGATTGTATATGCTATTGGTAGTAGGGTAATAGGTCTATTGTTCCTAATGTCTTCTCGTTCACCCTTCTTGTAAAGAAGAGCAACTACTCATGTGCTTATTTCTTCTCCCAATGTCCCTCTTTCAAAATATTTTTGAAATAACTTAAATAGGCATCCACCCATCACTTGCCAGATTTTTGTTCATAATTCTTTGGTCAGTCTGTGTTTTCCCGACACTTTGTTGGGTTGCATACTTCTCAGTGTTTCATAGAGTTCTTGCTTCGTAATGTGTTTGTCTAAGTAAATCACTGTTTCTGGTTGTATACTCACGTCTAGGTGTTTTAGGAACTTACCTCTTGACGTAGTTACCTCTGTTTGGTTAGACTGTGCTGCTCTCAACGTACATAAATCTTGATAAAAGTTTGTTGATATTTTAAGGACTCCTTTTTGGTTGGTCAGTACGAAGCCCTGATTGTTTTCGAGTCCTATAATTCAACTGTTTCTACAATTTGATTTTATTTTCTGAAAGTACTTAGTCATGGTTTCATTGCTTTCCCAGTCTTTCACTCTGGCCCTTATGGTTAGTCCTTGCCTGTTCCAATCTGCCCATCTACTGAATTCTTCTCTTGCTTCTGCTGATAGTTGTTCATACATGAGCGCCCCTGGGTTGTTTATTGGATTGAATTTAGTTATCTCCACTACCGCTTCTAGCATCTCTTGTCTTGCTTTCCTTTTTCTGGCTTCTATCCGGGATGCTTTGTTCTCCCAAATGTTAACTGTCTGGATCGCTTTCGGAAGGTTGTTTAGGATATCTGCGTTATTTTCTTCTTGTTTGTGGGCTTCCCAAACTTGTTTGGTCCCTTTTTTGAAATGAAGTAATCAAGGAGTTGTTCAATTTAAAGAAGCTCTTACCCGGTGTGTTATATAAGAGAATGTTAGGTCCAGTCCTATTTGACTACGGTCAAAACCCCCATAGTAGGGAGCTTAAACATTGTTGCCCTTTTGACTATTCCTTCTAGCGTTTCAAAGGTAAGGAAGTAGTCTATTCTAGAGAACGAGTTTTTTTCTTAACCCAAAAACAAAGGATATTTTGTGTGGGTTCCTTAAGTTCTTTTCCATGAGGAATTCTACCATTAATGGGCTTCTGGCTATTTTGTTGATTCCCTACCATGTGAAATTCTATCTAGGGTTGGTTATAATGTGATGTTCCAGTCCCCTTCTAAAATTATGCATTTGTGGTCACAACATTCCTTCTTTATTCTTACTAGGATCGATCTTCTTTGTGCATTTGTGTTTGGTGCATAGATGTTGAGTAAGGAGAACTTTTTTTCCCTGTATGAGAAGTTCATTCTTGTCCATCGGCCTTCTTGCAGATCTTTCATGGACTCTTGTATTATCAGCAGTTGGGAGGCGTCTGCCTTCTCATGTACTATTGTTAATACTCCTGTTGAGGCTGCGATGGGGCTGGCCGCCCAGTGTGCATGCTTGATATGTTTCAGTCTTCTTAGAATTCCCAAGGTCTGTTGTGGTCCGGTGTGTTTCTTGAACGCATAGGATATTTGGGGCCCTATTGTCCAACCTGCCTGTCATGCCCACAAAGCTGTGCCATTTTGTTGGTGTTGACAAGATGGTTGCCAACCCCCTTACATTCCATGATCTGATTTCTAGTTGTCCTCTATCCCTGTTACTGGCCTTGGCGCTCTGGCAGCCACATTACCTTGGGCTACCCGCCCTGAATTTTGAACTTGAGAATATTGATTTTTTATTTTTTCCATGAATATGCAGTATTATGTGTCATTTATCTACATAGTTGGACAACCTTCTGCTCATTTTTCTACTTTTATTTTTCGAAGTCATTGTGAGTTGTAAAGACTTGCAGGCTTGCATGACATTCGGGTTTGCAGCCTTGCAGGCCTACAAGCTTGCAAGCTTGCAGGCTTGCAAGCTTGTAAACTTGAAGGTGTGTAGGCTTGCATGCCTACTGGATTACAGCTTCTAGGCTTTGCAGGCTTTTAACCGATGATTTTCACTTTCAAGATTGACGTTTTTTCACTTTGTTGTGCCACTATGACTGACTAGTTATCTTCTTTGCTGATTGTTTCCTTCTATTTGCAGGTGGATCTTATCACAACTTTGACAAAGATTTGTGTTTTGGGTCAAAGTATTAATTATGAGGCATACACTTTCAAAATTCCAGTGAAATTGAGGCTTTAAGAAGCCTTAACTTTGAAGTCTCGTTATATACTCACAAACTAGGGACTTTTCCAGAGACAAATCTTTGGATGCAATTGCTGTTGGAAGTTCAGATATGTCCAGGTTCATATGTAATTGTTACAGCCAGATGCACCCAGGAAGTGTTAGTTCAAGGATTCTCTAAGTCTCATAAAGGCAAGCACACTTAGCTGAAATAGTGTCATGCAACAACATCGATAACTCTGACGAAGTTCAAAAGATGTATTTTTTTATAGTGCAAAGTTTGATGTTCGTGGCTTAACTATGGCAAAAGAAGTTCAAAAGTTGTAACTCTTCGAGAGCGATGTGCACTGCAGTTCAAAGTTAAAACTTTTCTTATGCTTGACCATGTATGAAGGTTTTTATAGCAATGGTTTCAATGTTTTAAACCATAACATGCGTCGGTAACTTCCGCCAAAAAGTAACTTTTTCAAGAGCAAAGATGAAATGTTGTACCTCTTCGGTGGCAAAAGAAACTCAGAAGTCGCAATTTTTCTGAAGCAATTAGCATTGTTGTCAGAAGTTACAACTTTCCTTGTAGTTGGCCATGTATTAAGCAACTTTGTAGAGTAGTGGTTTCTTTTTTTCCAACTTTTCTTTGCTTTTCTGAACTGGTTCAAAGTTTTAAGTCTAAACCTTGAAAGTTATGACTTTCGCAACCCCAATGGTGGGAATAGTACACTTGAAGTTAATGACTTCTCTTGACCAATGTTTTGAGTTTCAGGCGTTGGTTCAATGGTTTATATTTTGTGTAGGAATTCAAACTCAAACATCATGGTTTTCTTCCTACCTCCAAAGTTACAACAATTCTGAACAATACTAGCTCACGTCAGTAGTTAGCGACTTTGTTTCTTTTCTTTCAAAGCCACAAAATTTGTTACGATTGTGCCTTAACTTTCAACCAGAATATCCCTTCTCCTTTCCTCTTACTTCGTTAGCGATGCAAAGTTCTAATCTTTAAAAAGTTTTGTTTTTTTACGAGCATACTGGAACTTCAACTTTCTTCACCAAAGCGCGCTCCAAACTATAACAATTTTTCTTAAGTTCGAATAGAAATATAGTCCCACCTCTTTTCTGGCTCCCTAAAGAACCCCCACAAGTGGTTAACCTGGGCATCAGGAAGTACAATATTAGGATAGGAACGATGAGGCATTACAGGCTCTTTTTCTTTTGATTCTTTGTTTTTATTTTTTTTCTTTAGCGTTTACGGACTGCACAAGTTAAGATTTTGACTTCTCGACAACTTTTGTGTATTGGTGTGCTCTACGCTTTGTGAGTGTACCATGAGTTTGTTTCGGAGTTATTAGAGTTAGATACAAGGAACAAACTTGTCCCATCAAGGAAATATACTTGTTTCATCAGGAGTCATGCTGCTTACCTGAAGATTGTTTTTTCCGCGTATCTACTTTTGCATATTAGTTCTCATTTTTATTGGAATGCTCTGCTCCAAAGAGCCTGCATACGGTTCTTATTGTTCTTTTCTTGCTCATGAACCCTAATCTCACGAGATCCTCCATCCTTCTCTTCTCTAGAGAGAAGGCCCTGCCAGTGTGTTATGCCCTCCCCTTGTCACTCTCCCTCTTTATCTCAATGGTGCATCCTCCTTGTCTCCAACATCTTCATCCCTCACCGCTTTTCCCCTCTCTTTTTTCTTCCTTCCCTCATGGTTTTTCCCCTCTCCCTTGTCGCCTCCACTCCCTTCTAATAGCCGGCATGTGTGTGCTCTTTTATGCATCACACCTTCACACACCACACACAGACACACACTTGCACGCACGTGCACGCACTCCTACACACGCAAACACACCACAGACACATGCCCATACACACGCATATACACACACCCTCAAGGACACGTGACGATGTGAGCGCCCAATGTCACGCATGCCACCCTCACCCCCACTATTGTTATCTTCCCCTTTGTCGACTTTCCCCCTCTCGTCTTTCTCCATCTTCGCTGATGCTGATCTCCAATCTCTGTATTTCGATTAGAATGAAGAAGTTGCGTAGTGGTAGCGCCTTGCGCGTGGAAAAGCTACAACGAAACCCTCTTGATGCGACCGACCTCGCTGAGCCTTTTTGGTAGGGGAAACGATGTTGAACTTGGTGAGGATAACGAAGTCGACACAAAAGCTTTCCGGTATAGAAAACATTGTAAACCTCCTAAAAGGGTCTTCGATATCGAAATGAAATCATACTCAAGAAACAAGGTAAATAAAAAAAAACAAAATATATTATACTTCAAATCGAATAAACCGGAAAAAAACACACTAATTCAGTGAGTGAATCATCAATTCAATCAAATTGAATTATATATGTTTTATGGTTGTTATTGTATCGCCATAAGGCCCAATGAACACATACTAATGGACTTGCGGCCACAAAGTGGGAGACTAGAGCTCCAGTGGGAAACCCAAACCCGGCGTGTGTGCAAGCTTCTTCTACGTGCACCATGTCCCCCCTCCCTATGTCACCATTCCTTCTTTGTCTCCTCCTCGTCTGTATCATTGTGCCAAGATGCGAGGGTAGGATGTTGTTCCAAGCATCACACTTGAACTTCATTGAGATAGCATTTTGAGTCACTTGAGATCTATACAGATATCATTCGCTATTGGACAGGGTTTGTGATTTTCCTATCACCGGCTCTGTCACTACCGCTTTGGTCTCATCTTGTCCTTCTCTCCAGTCAGGGTTCATAAAGCGTCGTGCATTGATGTTAGTACCGCTCTACTCTATCGCCCAACTTTTCTCCTTCTGCCTCATTGGTCGCACTAGTCAGGTTTCATGAAACGTAGTGAGTTTCTTTCTGGGTTGTCATGAGTCTCTACTAGTATTGCTGTATCATTCACCTTTCAATCTGTTTTATTTTTTCGACTCTTTCATTGAAACTTATCAAATGTTATGAGGGTGTCATGAGTTCTCATGATTCGGTGTTGATCCAGCAGTTGGTAGTAACCTCTTTGTGGATGATGAGCTCAATCTCTGTGTGGATGTACGTTGTGGTTGTAAGGAACGCCGTTAGCAACTACTATCAATTTTCATTGTCTCTTATCAAACGCACGAGCAATCCTAATCTATGCTTCTGTCTGTCGAGTATCAGCATACAACTAGAACGCATGCTAGCATGAGTGTTCAAGCATACACGTACTTGTACAACCACAGGTGCATGACCTTGGCCTCTATGACCACAAGTTTTACTAATTTGGACACCTTTTCCCCCCACAACCCCACCTCGTGCAATCAACCTTTCTAAAAATTTATTATTTGCCTGCACCCATTGCAACCTTGATGCCAACTTGCCAACTCCGCCACGACTGTATCACATCCTTATCCCGTACAAATACCTAATATATATGTCAAACCTCGAAACTAGTATTGAGCCTTTAGACAATGTTTACGATTTTATTTCTAAGAGATACAATGTGATCACGTTCAACTTTCGCATCAACTATTATTACTTGTTGCATCGCGGATTGTGCTCATTCATGTTCTATCATTCATCACATCTTGAAATGTCAATATATGGTTGTCTTATTCAATTGAACAAGTTTTCAACCACAGGAGTTTGACAATTTATCAATTGCATAAATAAAATTATAAAAGAAAAGATGATGTTGTTAATTCATTCAGGGTTGACAATCATTTTTATCTCAACTGAAGCACTTTTTCTTTTTATAAGCAAAAAATGTATCCAATCTGCAAATGAGAACATCGTGATAAGTGATTGGTCACATATGAAAAGAAACAACAAAATTCCACCAGCATGTCATTTTGCAAACCATCAAGAGTACATCATTTTTACTTCTTTTGAATGTAATATAAGTTGAAAAAAAACATGCAAAGTATGTTATAACTCACAAAGTTACATCGTTCTCTTACTCAAGATTTGGGGCAAATTTGAATTACCTCAGATAATATAAATACAAAAAATTGTAATCTCCTTCACTTCAATGTCTTGCAGACACTAGCTTAACTGTTGTACTTATTCGATAGAAAATTTTATTTTTTTCATGAACTTCTTTACTTGGGTGATCTATTACTACTGTCAGGGTTGCCGACGTTCGAGATGGGCCAAACACCTGAACCCGAACGCCCGAACGTTCGGCACCCCCTCTCGAAGCGTTCAGTCGTTCAGCCGAACACGGATTAAGAATAATTAAAAAATAATAAATAAAAAAATCCAAAAAAATTAAAAAACAAATATGTTATGCAGAAGAATAAACTGAACAACATTTGCCTTAACATTATATCCACATTCTTTACCAAATTTGAAATAAAAATCAAATTCTAAAAATAAATAATAATAATAAAAAATTAAAAAAATGAAATAAGAATTAAATGCAATTTTTCTTTTTTTTTTGGCTCTGACGTATGCCATGAAAATTTATATATATATATCTTACATAATAGAGAATCTACAAATAAAGTTTGAAAAAATAATAAATTGTTTTATGCCCGAAATAAAAGAAAAACAAAAGGTCAAAAGAGAGAAAAAACAAATTTATGAGTGGGCAAGCAAGTTTTGACACTACCACCTTTGAGAATTTTTCATTTGTTTTTGGCTGAACAGAATGACTTCAAAATTAAGCGGGAGATACCTTACATCACAAAGAACTCAGGAAAAAAAAATCGGAAAATTTTAATAATATTTGGGTGCCAAAATATTTTTTGGTGTGTTCCGAACCCCTTCAAGTTCGGGCCCCGTACGGGGACCCGAACGCCCGAACGTTTGGGGGTCAGCTTAGGGGCCTCCGTATGTTCGGCCTGGCAACCCTGATCATCGTCATAAACTAGGTTACCAGTCGGACTGCCTAGGTTGCCTTAGACTTGCGCGGGTGGCTCGATCGGACAATGTCCTAAACAACAGAAAAACAAATATATTAAAAAAAACAATGTTATGCAGAATGGCAAATCAAACAACTTTTGGTTGAGGACCATTTATAGTTGAATCTATATTGTGAAATCAGTCTTGCAAATTCACACTCAAACATGCATGCAACAAATGAGAATAACTTGGCGCTGTGCACCCAACTCAAACTCGGAGATATGGTAGCTTGCAACTCAACTCAAATCCAAGTTTACTTCAGTTGACTATGRCGCTGGGCGCCCACACTTACACGTTCGACTCAGAGTTCACACGCAACTCGACTCCGGATCACCCTGGATACCATGCACGCCAACCACTGCACACACACATACACACTCWCTAACTGTCTATGGCTATGGCGTATGGCCACTAACAGCCAACTAGCCTATCACTAACTTCTGCCCACTTCGTCTTCARGCCATCTGCAGACCTCCCTTGCACAAGACGCCCGAGCAGCGCTTCCGCAGAGCTTCCACAGGAATGAATGAATGGCTGGACGCAGCCTCTTGATTTATACTTTTGTGTTGCATTGGTCTGCCTTGTATCCCTGGCCCATGATGCACACAGTCCCCCCCCCCGTGGTACTTGCTGGACCGGACTGGTACTTTCTAGACTTTCCCATGACTGCATAGTGACAACCCTACGACGCAGTGCAGTTGCACTGGGGTCCTACTATTTGCCCTTGCCACTTGTCCTCGTCTCCAACATGGGCTTGCTTTAGTCACACCACTTGACCACTTGCCAACCTTCTAGAAGGACTGCAGCTGGACTTCTACTCTATAGGTCTATGGATCAAATCCTGGCTACCTAAAGACCTACGACAGACCTACTTACCACTGGCGGTTCTACAGGTCGCAGGTTCAATTCTTCAAGTTGTCACAGATATTGTACACAGGTAAGTTGGGGAACTAGGGATCGAACCCTGGGTCCTACATCAGCTACTTCGAACTGGTGAATACCGTTTCAATTGAGCTGAAAGTAATTTAGACTAACACCAAATATGCTATATTACCCTCAGATAGTTTAGGCTAAGTGTAAATAAACTATACTAATGAATTTATTCTAAGTATAGGCAAATTATACCAAGTATAAATGATGCATACCGAATATAGGTAGATGATCGTATGTTATATTAAGTATAGGTAAGCAAAGAAGAAATAGCCAAATCATACTTTTATTCAGGGTAACCGGTGTTCGGGACGGGCCGAACGCCCGAACCCAAACGCCCGAACGTATGGGAGCCCTTGGGGATGCGTTCGGCCATTCGGGCCGAACGCGGACCCAAAAAATAAAATAAAAAAAAATATGAAAAAACGATTTGTTATGGAGAAACATAAATTAAACAAGA